AGAACATACAGTGCTTGTTTCGCAATCTGGGCATGCGCAGGAAGGGAACAGGGAAGGATACAATGTAACTGTCTCCCCGGATTGTGCCATCTGGGGTCTACAATAGGACTACAACAGCGTCTGCACAGTCTGTTTGACTCTACTCTATGGAGGAGAAAGGTAGTAGGGAAGAGACGAAGGGCCATCCTCAGGCTCAGCACATGCAAAAGACCAGAGTAGAAATGCATACTGATAAAAATACAAAAGAGAAGAGCAATTAACAGTTGGTGTTTTGAAAATAAATAAAATTGACAAATCTTTAGCCACACTGGCCAAGAAAGAAGGAAAGAAGACTCAAATAAGAAAACCAGACATGAAAAAGGAGACATCAAAACTTACACTACAGAAACAAAAAAGATCATTGGAGACTATTATGAACAATGGTAAGCAAACAAATTAGAAATCGACAAGAAATTAATTTCTAGACACACATAAGCTACCAAAATTGTGCCAGGAAAACACAGAAAACCTGAACAGACCAAGAACAAGTACTGAGACTGAATCAGTAATAAAAGCCTTCCACAATGAAAAGCCCAGGACTGGATAGCTTTGCTGCTGGATTTTATCAAACTTTTGAAGGAGAATGAATGCCAATCTTCTCAAAATATCCCAAAGCATTGAAAGGGAACCCTTGCAGATTTATTCCACAAGACCAGAATACCCTGATGCCAAAACCACACACACACACACAAAAAAAAAAAAATACACTACAACGACAACAAAAAAGGACACTACAGACCAATATCCCTGTTGAACACAGACGCAAAAATTCTCAGTAAAATACTAGTAAATTAATTTCAACAACACAGGAAAAAAAGACTATACACCATGATCAAATAAGATTTATCCCAGGGATGGAAAGATGGTTCAACATACACAAATCAATAAACACAATGCATCACACCAACAGAATTGTTTTAGTCCACTTTCCTATTGCTGGGCTATAATACCTGACACTCACACCTTAAAGAAGAAGAAGTTTAATTTGATTCATGGTTCAAGGGACTTCATCCATGGTCAGTTGGCTCAAAGCAGAAACATCACAGTGGAAGGGCATGACAGAGGAAAGCTACTCACCTAGCAGCCAGGAAGCAGAGAAAGAAGGGAGGATCCAGGGAGGGACGTGCACCCTCCAAAGGCCCCCACTGACACACCTCTTCCAACCTGGCCTCACCTCCTAACAACACACCTAACTATGAAAGCACCAATGGATGAATTCCCGGATGAATTCCCTGATGAATATAGCATGCCATGATCCAGTCAACTTCCAAAACCTCCACTTCAGACAAGACTTTTCAGGAACATTCTAGATCTACACCATAACAAGAATAAAGGATAAAAATTGTGATTATCTCAATTGATAAAGAAAACAGCAATAGATGCAAAAATAGCATGACGAGATTATTGAGTAGAAATATCTACAGACTCCACCCCCAAAAAGCAGCTAAAACTAATAATTTAATTCATTAAGGTAACTGGTCACAAAATCAACACACAAAGTCCAGGTGATTACATAGAAGTGATGATTGAGAGAGGCAGAAAGATCATACTTTGAAGAAAGGAAAGTTTCACCCATAAATGGTGCTAGGAAAACTGGATTTACGTTTGCAGAAACAAGAAATCAGACCCCATGCTGAGTACAGTGATGTATGCCTGTAATCCAGCTGTTCAGGAGACTGAGGCAGGAAGATCACATGTCTGTGGCTAGACTTAGCAATGTAATGAGTCCCTGCATTTAAATAAAATAAAAATGGCTGGGATGAAGCTCAGTGGTTGAGTGCTCATCTAGCATGAGCAAGGCTCTGGGTTCAATACTCATACTACCCCCAAAAAAACAAGAGAAATGAATGAATGAACAATCAACATAGATGCTTATCTGTCAAATCAACTCAAAGGGATCAAAAGCTTAAATGTAAGACCTGGAACTATGAAGCTACTAGAAGAAAATAGAGCTGAAACACTTCAGGGCATTGGACTGGGCAAGCAGTTTTTGAACATAACCCCAAAAGCAGAGACAACAAAAGCAATAAATAAATAAATAAACAAATGTATCTAAATAAAATATTCCTTGCACAGCAAAGAAAACAACAGAGTAAAAAGACAACCTACAGAGTGAGAAAAATATCCACAAACTATTCATCTAACAAAGGATTAATTTCCAGAATATATAAAGAACTCTAACTCAACAGAAAAAATAATAGTTATCGGATTTTTAAAATGAGCAAATGACCTGAAATTTTATTTTTCAAAAGAGAAATACAAACGGCCTACAGATATATATATATATATATATATATATATAGAGAGAGAGAGAGAGAGAGAGAGAGAGAGAGAGAGAGAGAGATCATCTCATTCTAGTCAGAACGGGTATTATCAAAAAGGCGAAAAAGGGCAGGGAATTTAGCTCAGTGGCACTGCACTTGCCTTTCAAGCACAAGGTCCTGAGTTCAATCCACAGCATCAAAAAAAAAAAGGAAAAAAATACCAAACACCAGCAAGAACATAGAGAAAGGGCAACAGTCATATGATGCTCTCTAATTGGGCCTAGTGGTGTATTCCTGTAATCCCAGCACTCAGGAGGCTGAGGCAGGAGGACTGCTGTGAGTTCAAGGCTAGTCTGGGCTACATACCAAGACCCTGTCTCAAAAAAAAAAAAAAAAGTAAAGTAAATGTAAATTAGTACAGTCATGGAAAACAGTACAGAGATTCCTCAAAAAATGAGATCTAGGTCTACTATATGAGTCCACGTCCCCACTGCCAGGTATATGTCCAAAAGCACTGAAGGGAGCATGTCACAGGAACATCTGCACTCACCTGTTCATTATGCCACTATTCACAAGAGCCAAGATATGGAATCAACCCATATGAACAAATGGGTAAAGAAAATGCAGTATATATAAACAATGGAATATTATTCAGTCATAAAAATCATTAAATTCTGCCATTAGAAGTAATATAGATGGAGCTAGAGGATATTACATTAAGTCAATCAAAGAAAGGCAAATACCAGACACAATACAAATATCCATTTGTATTTGGAAGCTAAAATGTGGCCCTCAAAGCAGTAGAGAATCAAATAGGAGTTATCAGAGCCTAAGAAAGGTATAGGAGAGGAAGAATAACTTCTACGCTTTTATAACACAGTAAGATAACTGTGGTTGAGCTGGGGATGTAGTTTAGTGGTGCTGCACCTGCCTGGCAAGCATACGGTCCTGAGTTCGATTCCTATGCTGGGGAAAAAAAAAAAAAGATGACCATGGTTGAAAACAATTAACTGATATCTCAATGTAACTAGCAGAATTTTGTTACCAGGGATCAAACTCGGGACCTTGTGCTTGTGAGCCAGGCGGCAGAACCACTGAGCTAAATCCCCAGCCAGCTAGCAGAATTTTGAATGTTCCCAACACAAAGAAATAATAATTGTTTGAGGTGATGGACATGCCAGTTGCCCTGAATAGATCACCACACATCGTGTACAGGTATTGAAAAGTTACACTGTACCCCATATGTATGTACAGATACTATCTATTAAAAGTAAACACACATTTTTAAAAAAACATATGTTTTAAAAAGAAAAACTTAGTAGTGCTCACTTCGGCAGCACATATACTAAAAAGAAAAACTTACTGATATAAATATATAGCCACATGCTTTAAAGCTTTAATATTTAAATATTCATCTCTGGAACATCTTACATTTTTTTTCAGAGATTATTTTCCATAATACCAATTATAAAAATTATTTTATAGAATTCTAGTATTTAAGTTGATAAAAAGTCATTTCTAAGAAGCTGACTTGAGATTTTCTCCAAAATTTTGTTGCAAAAATATGTGATTCATTTTAAGAGTTCACCGTTAAAACCTAGAGGGGCACCTATCAATAAAAGAAAAGAAAAAAAGGGGGATATTGTAATGGACAGGAGAGAAAAAGGGAAGTGGGAATGAAATGAAAGCCACTTTAGCATTCATGCTGAAGCTCCCAGAAGAAATCCAGTGAAACTTTGATTTCACTCCTAAAATTTTAAACTGCTTAGACTTGGAACTTGGAACAATGAACAAATTGTTAGATTAAAAAATGACAACAGAAAGATTTAGCATATTTTTGTTTATGTAAAAGATCATACATCTTTGTCACTCATCCACCTTGTAAATATTTAAATTGTACAATATGTAATATTAAACCTATATGTACTGTGGAGATCAGATGGGAAGACTGAGGCCTAATTTCCCCCCTCGGTGAGCGCTGAGAAGACAGAGGGCAAGCAAGCTGCTGACACCCTGCAGGGAGAGGTAAAAACTCCCGAGGTTGAGTTGTTCACCTGGAGAAGTGCTGTGGAGGGCGGGAGACGGATGGATCCTGTGGAACCAATTGCTCGTGCCCCTGTCTGAGGGAATACGGCCGAGGTGCGCCAGTCATGTGGGGCTCTATGTCGGAGGGAGACATGAGCCCCCTGAGCCCCCAGATTTTAGCCTGTTTCTGTGTCTCTTTATTTTGCATCCTTGTCACCCCTTGGTGAGGTTCAAACTCAGTTTCTAGGCTGGTTCCTACAATGTACTATACCCAGGTACTGTATGTTTCATAATTTATCTCAGTTAATCTTCTCCACAAACTACAAAGTAGGTGCTATTACTTCCCAGCTATTTTTATAAATGAGACTAAGCCTGGATGAGGTTAGGCATCTTTCTCCAAATCACAAACTTAGCAAAAAGAACCCTGTCTGTTAACAAAGTTGAGTAATATTATGTCTATTAATAGTTTGAGTAATATGATTTTTTAATGATCATTGTAAAAAGTTTTTATGTTAAAAAAAAAATCAAAGCTAGTCAATCATCTAATGCCATCAGTACATGAAGTCAAATGAAAATTTCCAGTTTCTAGATCATTTTGGTCTTTGTTTTCTGCAGCTCTAACAGAATACCTGAGACTAGATGATTTATGAACATGAAAGATGTATTTCTTACAGCTTTACAGGCTGGGAAGTCCAAGATGAAGGCGGTGGCATCTAGTGAGGGCTTCTTGCTGAGCTGTGCGGAGCCAGAAGGTAGAAGAGCAAGGGAACACAAGCAAGAGAGCAAAGGGGAGCTGATCTGGCTTGTATAACAAACCCACTCTCACAGTAAGGACATTAACCCATCTGTGAGGTCAGTCCTTATGACCTAACCACCTGTGACAAGTTCAACTTCTTAGCACTTTTACAATGGCAACTGTATTTCAACAGGAGCTTTGGAGGGGGTATTCAATCCATAGGAATGCTTAAAATTTCTTTTCAAAGCTCCAGAAGGATTACAACTAGCCTACCTACATCTTCCACCTACATTGCATACTCCTCAAAGCCACTCTCAAGGAGGGAGGAACTCTAGGGCTGGGGATTTAGCTCAGTGGTGCCGCCACCTGCTGTGCAAGTGCAAGGTCCTGAGTTTGATCCCCGGGACCAAAAAAGGTGGGGGGGAGGGGAGACTCTAACACAGTGCAAGAACTAGAAAAGCCAGGCAGAAGCAAAGAGGAGGGCAGCAACTCTAGCATTTGCTTGAAGTGACAGAACCAGCAGTGACCAAGGTAACTCTAACAGAAGATAAGATATCTGTTCCTACTGACTGTATTTTCAGAAAATTCAGAGGAGAAATGGGGCTCTTGTGATGTGGAAGCAAACAAAATATGATTCTTAAGATCTTTGTGCAAGTGACAGATACTTTACGTATTATGGTTCAGCATGCATCATGCAATAGTTTTAGTATCTGAAATTAGGCAATATGCTATTTTCTTAAAAAGAAGAGAGATTTGCATTGAATTGTCAGGCACATCGCTAACCAAAGTAGGTGGTTTCAATAAATGAGATTTCTAAAATAAATAAAATAAAAATAAATAAATGAGATTTGATGCATGCTCATCTCCATTTATTTTCATATATGTTCCAAAGGTTACAGTCCCACTAAATAATATATCTCACTGCAAACACCCGTGTTAATGTGATTCTTTCCTTCTGGGTGACCTGATCCAAGTAGCACAAAAATCACACCATTGAGCACTAAAAATAAATACAGCATGAAACAGAGTTCTTTGATCTTCCACATTGGGGTATTATTACAATTTTAATGATCTACCTAGAATTTTTTATACAAATGGCTTCTTTTGAAGGAAGGACAGGAAACCTACTGAAATACACTAATCTCCTTGAAATCTCTATGACCACAGCACAGTGGGAATATATATTTTGCTCTAAAGAAAGATAAAATGTGGGTAAAGAGCAATCAGAAATGCATAAATTTGGTCTGTTATAATATACCACTTCCCTTTTAGAGAGGACAGCTATTTGGGTTCCAATATTGTATTTCCATTACTACAGTATTCCTTTAAAATATTCAGGATGTCAAGAATCATCACCTCCCAAAAATCTCTCTAAATATTATTTATGCTTTAGAACCTCAAAGACAACTTTAATGAACTTAATGAAATCATTTGATTTCCATATTTCTGGCTAAGTTACTGTCACCTTTTTGCCCTAGGGAAAACTTTACATTCTTTTACAAGATTAAAATCTCATTTATAAAGCTGGGAAATCTTATATGGTTACTTAACAGGCACATATTGCCCAAAAAAGTAAGGGGAAGTACCAGAGGTTAAGGCAGGGATAATAAAGAAGCATTTGAGCAGTTACCCTATTCAGGGTGTTATGCTGAGTGCCTTCATATGTAATCACATTTAAACTTTTCAAGGAACCCTAAACCACAGCTGTGTAGAAAGAAAATGTTCTGAGCAATTAATGCACTTGTCTTACAATCCATTAATTACTTATGTCACACTTTTGCCTCACCATGCACTCTGCTCAGTCCCAAGGAGTTCAGGATGGGCACTAGCATTAAGCTGTCCTGGTACAGACCAACCTGCCTGTCTTCCATAGAGCTCACATGCCATGCCCATCCCTGCATGAGCCCAACCTAGCAGGCTGAACTCCCACAGCAGGGGCCAGGGCAGGGAGGGAGACACCTCAGAAGCAACATCCACACCCTTTAAGCAAATACCAAGTGCCTGCCTGGTCCCCCAAAGGTATGGCCAAGTGCCACCAGCCAGGTATTGCCTTTAGGAGATTTCTGGGGTGCGTACACCTCTATAGGACTTTGGCTCTGAGAGTGCAGAGACGGAAGGGAAGAGCAGATATGTATGTGATGGGGCTGCTATACGAAAATGGCCAATTTCTTGGGGTCTAGTTGCTGGGCTTCCGGAGGAGAAAAAAGAAGGCACCTTGGCAATTTGGGGCCAGAAAACAGCTGGTATGTACACCATCCCTCTTTCACTGCCTTAGATGAATTTTCATCCATTTAATGGGGTGACGTCATTAAAACTGATCAAATGACCACTTGTCACAAGAGTCAAAAGCATTAATATTTTTAATAAAAATGGCTGCATGTGTGAAGTATATAATGATCACACTGAAAAGGTTAAAAAAAAAAAAGCCAGACATATGCATTCTTTAAGGTTTAAATCAGTATCTGAGGCCATCTGGAGGCACAAGCAGCCAGTATTTGGGTCGTCACTCAAGACTTTGGTAGTAAGTTAAAACTAAAATTCCAGTCATAACCCAAGTTGTTCATATGTCAGGCCAGTCATAACTTGAGAGTCCACTATAATTTAATTTTTATTTGTGTCTAAATTTAACAACAGTCAGAAAATCACTGAAAATGTAACAAGTGACACCAGCTCACCAGTGCAAGGTAGTCCCAGCTCACCACGGGCTGGGGCCTTCAACAAAAGCCTTAAGAAGGATGAAAATGGGCTTCAGCAAGCTAAAGCCTAGTCCCAGACACCGAGCACATATACAGCAAGATTTACTCTCTCATTCACTTAGCAGTTAGACAGTGCTAACTATACACTAGGCGTTACAAGAGCACTCTGCAAATATTCACTCTGATAGACGTGGCTTTGCCGGAACTCAACACTTGCAATGGAACTCGCAGTCTACAAAGGTGAATGGGGGTCCCAAGTCTATCAGGAAATGGCCAAGGACGGACGGAGTTGATTATCAAGTGGGAAATCTGTAACTAAGATTCACTCCCAGGCATAGCCATTAATAGAGCCTCACACAAGAGTTTGTAAATGTCTCCAATTGGGCATAGGATGAAAACAGATTGTCCAAAAGAAATTTTGAAAATAAACCAAGGAGAATGTGGGAGGAGTGAGTGGTTATGTTTATGAAGACTAAGAACACTGAGACAATCACATTTGAGGAGTAGAGGATAACTAAGGACAAGCATTGCTATCTAGATTGCTTTGGAACTCAACTTAAATTGAGTCCTAAAGCCACATGAAACTCTTCAGTTTCATACACAACCTGAAGAGCAAATATGAAGGGAAAAAACTGCCATTACAGTGATTAAAAATACCAAGTTCTTTGAAAGACCTGATACTGTATTATAATATGACATAAAGATAAAACCAGCAGGCACACCTATAAATCCAGCTACTCAAGAGACTGAAGCAAGGGCAATGGCAAGTTCAGAGCCAGTCTGGGCAACTTGGTGAAACTCTGTCTCAAAATAAAAATAAAAAGGGCTGAGGATATAGCTCAATGGTAGAGCACTCGCCTAGCATGCACGAGGCTCTGGGTTCAATTGCCAGTATCAAAAAAGAAAATCAGCCTCACATAGAAATCAATAAATAGATAAATAGTATAAACAGTTCTAAGTTCTATTCAATAGAGTCAATTTAAGAACATTATAAATTATTTTGAAATTATTAGTGATGTTTTATGAATTTCTGCACCTGCCAGGTAACCAGAATCTTAGAACTAGGTGACTACTATTGGTTGCTTTTTCAACAGAAAAGAGCGGATACCAGTAGTACAATGTGGGAAGCTACAGATTTTGAGAATTAATTGGACACAACTATGAAGTGATGAATTTTGGTCAAATTCTAGAAGCTGTTACCATATTTTATACTGAGCTAAGCAGTACTATACTGAATGTCACTCTAATTTAAAATGAGTCCATAGGAGACATTTTACTTTTCTGTTCCACTTTTAAATTCACTTACAGATTTAACCAGGATTTTCCTTAAATTTCCCATTGTTGTATGTGTATTGAGTAGCCACTTATATTAAATCATATTCATTTTCTTCGTGTTGGTGATTTCTCAGGGACAAATTCTGGGTTTGGTATTATATAAAAAAGAAGAGAAGACCTTGTCTATGCCCTGGAGGTTTGTAATCTCAGCATGACAGGCAGAGTTGTAATGGTCTGACTAATAAAATTCAGGGCCTACTGAGTTACTACCATGGCTTGATATGCTGTAGGAACTCTTCCAATTATGTACGGAATCATGGGACTGAGAGAAAGCTGGCACTGTGAAAAGATGGATGCTCAATGCCTTTACCACCTCCCCATTCTCAATCTCACCTGGGGATCTAGGGGAAGAGGAGGAGAAAAATGAAGTCATCTTTCTGAGAGGTGACATTTCTGCTTTCCACTGTATGCAGACCATGAGCATCTACAATGGGGCACTAATGCAAACTGGAAATGAAGCTCAGTGAGGCTCCTTTTATTTTGTTTTGAAATTAAAGCTCTGAATAGAAGGGGAGCTTACTATTTGAATAGATCTAGCCTCAAAATACTACCCTGATTGAAGGTACAAGAAAGATGAAGAATTCTTTTTATCAAGATGCCTCCTGGTGACTGGTTGGAAACGCCATAACTCTACTCACCAGTTAGCAGTCATTTCTGTCTCCACATGGGAGGGCTGGACCCAGTTCCCATCACATCAAAACCTGTCCACAACTATTCAATCTTCTTTTTTGGAAACCTTGGAAAAGTCATAGCCTTCAGGAATATATTTTATGCACAAAAACTTTCACCCACAAAAAGTCAACAAAGATGCTTCTCCCATGTCTTTTGCCCACTATCATTTTATCATCCTGTGAGTGGACCTCTCCTGGTTATCTCAACAGCCCACCCATTCACACTGGCTTGCTAGTTCCTCTATCTTCTAACCCTCTTTAAAACAATGATTTACTGAGTTCTTTACATATTCCAGATATTAGTCCTCTGTCTGTGGACTAATTTTA